TTATAGGCCTATATAACTATTAAAAACAATTAAAACCAAAGAAAAGATTACATGAAATTAAATAGGTCGGGTCTTCATTGATTAAAATGTGACGAATTAACGATAATTGAAAATTGTTCTTTTTTATTTTAATTCTTTGTACAGCCTGTATAAATACGAATGACAATGAAAATAAAAATGATGTTTAATAATCTTAAATGATTTGCTGTTTCTATTGCATACTATATAATTATTATAACTTTATTTTGGAAACGACGCTTTTAAAACAGTGGACACGCTCTCGCAGTGTGTTTATAAAAGTAACATACTGTACAGCCATAATACAATATTAAAATAGAGGTGAGACTTTTAATACAATAAAATGTACGTTACATAATTACACAAGTTGAATATATCACAGATCCTGTATATCATTTAACACTAACAATTTATAACATTTACAACAAAGCACAGTTTATGTATTGCGGCCAACTGACCTATACTATTATAATATTTATAAATAATAATAATCAAATTAATAACATAAGATTTGTATAGGACTCGTGTGTCCACAACCAAGTTCGTCGTCGTAATTTGTGTTACCGTCAATCCAAAGTTTCCGATCTCTGTATTTGTTATAATATCGTTAAGATAGAAATAATCATTTTTTTTTTCCATTTCTATCATATTTACAGTGGACTAGAATTACTGTAGCTGGTTTTACTAACATGTTTACGGGCAAATTTAGACAACACTGGGTTGAAATTTTACATATTTAGTGTTATTATTGTACTTTGTATACTAGGCTCCAAGCCTCAACTAGTGGAGTAAATATACTCAAGCAAACTGACACCATTCAAATAATTTAATTCTCGAACTCTAAATAATATGGTAATAAAGAGGGCTTAATTGCTACGTTTGCCATCATTACTATGTTTACCATTCATCACTACAACTGAAATCAATAATAAATTCACCACAAATAGATGAGATAGTAAAACATTATTATGTCTGATTCTATTTAATTCGTTATTAATAATAAGCCTGTAAAATGAAAAGAGAGAAATTATTATTGTAGTTTAAAATGTCAACTGTTCATAGTAAGGCTTATCGAATAGGGTCTAGACTTAAATTAAATGACCTCAAAGTGGAGTAAATATACTCAAACTGACACCATTCAAATAAATTAATTCTCGGACTCTAAATAATATGGTAATAAAGAGGGCTTAATTCCCACGTTTGCCATCATCAACTCTGCTGTCCTGATCGCAAGATTAACCATTGTATGTTTATTTACTTATATATTTATTTATTTACTTATTTAATTTTATTTATATTTATTTATTTACTTATTTATTTATATCCCCTTCTTTCACTTTGACGGCGACATATGAGTGCTGTACAACACATTGTGCGACTATACTCAACTGAGGTTATGCACAGTAACGGAAGATGATGATGATGATGATCAATACTATGTTTGCCATTCATCACTACGACTGAAATCAATAATAAATTCACCACAAATAGATGAGATAGTAAAAAATGTATTATGTCTGCTTCTATTTAATTCGTTATTAATAATAAGTTTGTAAAATGAAAAGAGAGAAAGTGTATATTGTAGTTGTAAAATGTATGAAACTGTTAGTAGCGCCTATCAAATTGGGCCTATGCCTTAAATTTAACGACCAATCAGAACGTGTTATTTTTGCTTGTATTGCACTTTACGAGAAGTACCAATACTTAGTACGATGGTATGGCTAACACAATATGATATTTGAAACGCGTCTATTTATTGATAAAACGTGTTTGTTATAAGGAAATATTGTGTAATTATATAATAACCATAGCGCTTTTTTTGTAAGTTTTCAGAGATTGTAGTCGCAACAGATATAGAATTTAGTAAACTACTATTTTTACCTGTTTCTATTTAATTAGCTAAGCCCACCGCAGTGCTCTGTTAATTTATTGTTACTCATGACTCATGTGATTGATGTATATAGCAATAGTTTGTACACCATAAAAAAAAGTTATGAATATGCACTTTTATTGGACCACAACAAATTTTATCATAAATGTACTTTTAATGCGTCATTACTTTTAGGCAAAAATACAAATCGTGAAAACATTGTAAGTCATATACAAAAAAAAAAATAAATAAATAAAATATGTATGAAAGAAAAAATGTGTAAACACACACACACACACACACACACACCCACACACACACACACAAATAAAACCTGTTAAAAAATGTACAAACAAAATATTTTACAAAAAACATGTAAAATAAATAAATTTTATGTAACAAAAATAAATATTATGTAAAGAAAATAAATTTTATGTAATTGAAATAACTTTAATGTCATACTTAATATACAAATCATCGTAGAATTTACACAAGTAATTACAATAATTTACAATTATATACCGTTTTTATCCTTACATAAAACTAATTTACTTTACATAAACTTCAGCTTTTTCAATTTTATTAGTGTTTAACATTTAGAAGTTTAAAATCACATTTTTTAAGCAATTGCTTATAAGTGTTATATGCTTAATTTTAATTTAATTTGTGATTTTATCATTTTCGATGAATTTTGACAAATTTCAATGTGTTCTGCAATTTAATAGAATAATAATTACACTTGTGAATAAGTCGCTTTAAAATTGTATTAATATGCAATATCTAAATATGAGAGAAAAAGTTTATCTTTATCTTTTCAAGGGTTTGTTTTAAAGTATAGTTTATGTTTAGTTCTAATGTGTCTTACTTTCATGCGTTTGACAATTGCGTAAACCATATATTTCATATTTTTGGAGGAATCAATGTGATATTTATTAATTCACTGATTAGAATTTAGGCTAACTAAAGTTTATATTTTACAGTTTTTACAATTCCCTATTTTCGCACTTCAAACGGAATACGTTCTTCAAAAGTGCTTACATGTGTTTTCTATTATTCTCTTATTGCAATATTCTACATATATCAACTTAAATATATCCTTCCTTTAAAGTCTCCTGCTTTTTTACGGCTGTATAATTATATATGTGTATGGGATTTTTGTATTTATACCTTCTTTAAATTATTTTGCATTATTTGTTCTATTTTAATTTTTAATACATATCATAACATTGTGGTTTTGAACTTTTGAAATTTTACAATTTTAACTTGTTTTTCGTAGATTTTTTAACGTTTCGTACATTTTATTATTTGTTTTTTCTAATTCTAATTTCTTTTACTTTTAACTTACAGTGATTTTTCTTCTGACTTTATCTTTTTTCGTCTTTGAATTTTAACAGTTTATTTAATTAAAAATGTGCTTGCTTAACATAAAGCTTAATTTTTTCTTTAATTATTCTTAATGTGATTTTGAATTCATGTTTTACATGTTTTTAAATTTGACTAGGTTTTGCTCTATGGATTTAACTTTTACATGACTGTCGCTTATAAAAGCTATTTACTTGTAAGTGTTTTCTTTTTTTTTTTCTGTTGAAGTATTGTACGTAATTTTGCTTTCAAATGGGTTTTACGTGGTAGTGTTGGTTAAAATATTGCGTTTCTATTTATGTTCATGTAATTTTTATACTTGTGTATGAATTTAAGATTTTCTAATATAATTATTTTACGTTTTTTACATTTTCACGTCTATACAAATGTGTTTTTTTTTTTTCCATAAGTCGTTTTAATTTAGTTATAATACGGTATTTTGGATTCAATTGAATTTTTTTTTAATCTTTATTTTATTTTGTACATTTTAAGGTTTTTAATATATTTTTGAACTGATGATTGCTTACAAATTTTGCTTTTCCTAAGCTTATACATTTTTACATTTGTCTAATTCATTCTGTTTTCTAATTAATTGTTTATAATATTAGGTGGTTTGAGTATTTTCAACTCTTTTACGTATTTCATACGGTTAATAAAATATTTATTATTTTCTCTAGGTAAAGTTGGATTTTACTAGGTTATTATTTTAACATTTCTAGTTCATCGATTATACTATATAGTGATAGCAGTTTAAATTAAAATTAAGTTTGTTCAAATATTTCGGGTCCCTATATTCCGATCTTATAGGGTTATCATATTGTTCTCGTGTTTATTTTTCTTTTGTATACATTTGAATTTGTATTTTGTATAGAGATTTTATTATGAGAGCAATAGTATCAAACAATTAAATAGTTTTACATGGTAACGTTCTTTAAGTAGTTACCTACAATTTTACGATCTTCATCTGTTTAAGTAATTTTGATTAAATTCAAACATTTTATTTTACATAAACTTGTGTTTTTAACCTATTTTACTTTAGGTTAAATATTTCATTCAAGTTTTTATTTGTAGATTAAATTGTGCACATATTTGATAATTAATTGTGGTTTTTAATAGGTTATTACTTTCTAATTGGCAATGTTATTTCTTTTATGTACTTTCTTAATGTATTTTATTTGATTTGTAGTCTGTTAAAGTATATTTCATTTATATTTGACTGATTTATGTAGTTTAGTTTTAAACTATCTAACATTTTGATTACAGTTTTGCTCGATAAATTTTTATTAGTTTCAACCGTTTTATCATGAATTAGAAATTTATATTTGAATTTATTTACATATTTTGAATATAACTAAATTTTCGCTTCATAATTGTAACATTTTATGTAACATATTAAATTCATCATCATCCTCATCATCATCCTCATCATCAACACCATCATGTTCAACATCACTATTGTAACCATTTTAAGTTCTAATTCTACCCCCTCTGAAACTACCAGGATTTTAGGGTCGTAGTATAGGCCTACCTATAATTTATTGCTCCATTAAAGGTACACGATGTAAATTCAAAAAAGAAAGAGTCATATATATGTTTCAACAATAAGCAAGAAAGCTTTTCATTTATTTTGTTTCAAACTAATAATTATACAGATCATCATATAATTTATAAATTCATGTATTAAGTGTTCGTTTATCAAACGTTCTTCCAGGAATTCCTTCAATATCTCGCGTTGTGATGCTCGATTACTGGCATAACGTTTCTCACTGTAGAATAAAAGGTAACGTTATTTGATTTGATCAAATTTTGCATGAAAACAAATACCAGTATTCCAGATTACCTAGTTCGCTCTAGTCCTACAAGAACATCGGAATATATTTCTGTGTGGTTTTCCTATTGCCATTTTCTTCTGACTCTGGACCGGATTCAACTTTATTGTAAAGTTCACCATCAAAATTCCTGTAGGTATTTTATACACCATTTGACGGCTGGCAAAAGAAACATCCTGGACAAGTGTGTGCCGATATACACATAATTCGCACATATCATCCTTAACAGAATGTGTTGTATAGATACAAAGTTGCTGTTAGGCTTAACGCTATCCCTAACGAAACGTTCATTAGAGGAATTTCTGCTATCGTTTTTTGTGTTGAGTATACGATTGATCGAAATTGTTCTGAAAAAATGTATATATAGGCCTATAGAGTTGGAAACAAATTCAATTTTTTAAGTAATTATTGATGATAATACTGTATATAGACACGAATTAAATGTTTTTATCAATGATTGTAAATACAAAAAAGTGACTTACCCAATCTCCTTGGATATTAATCCATTCCAAAAATTCCGTCTTCACGTATTTGTCTACATTCTGTATTACTTGATCAATCAAATCAGTTCTATTTCTATCTTTACATAAAACAGCTAACCTCGCTCCAAACACAAAAACCATAATTATATGGCCCCAGTTTATGATATTATCGCTAAACATTTCTGTTAAATTGTCTTTGAAAAACGTCTGGATATTCTCATTTGAATCAACCAAAACTTCTATAGTTAATTTATAAAGATATTCATTGTGCATATCATACATCTTTTCGCAATATTAATTATTATTCGCAATAAAAAATTACTGTTCATATGCTCTATATATTTCATGTCATTGCCTAGTTTATATGCTACAAACGCTGAATTTATTTCTCGTGAAATTCGTTCAGTTTCCATCTTACATAGTTTTTTTTCCATCTAAAAACAAAATTATGTTTTAACTTTGAACACGAGCTTCGTGGATAGGTATTCGTAAAGTAAAAACTAAATTGTATGTAGTTGAAACTAATTTTGTGTTCTTAGCCTAAATTTCTTCAAAATTTAAACATTAATTCATGTTTACCCGGTCAATTCAAACCAACAAGTCACTGAATTTTTCAAGTCACTGAAATTTCTCATCCAATAGAATTCATTCTTATCATGATGAGCCTACACTGAGTCACAAACAAATAATCCTATTAATGACACCGCTAACTCTATTGTTTAATTCAATTACATTTCCTTTGTTTAATTAAATCCTGTTAACACCTTTAATTACTACCCTATTGATCCTACACACCTGGCACTGCATCATGACGTAAACATTACCAACTAAAATATATATATATATTCTTTTTGTTTTCTTTATTTATTATTATTATTTAAATTATTCAAATTCCAAACCTTTTAGCACCTTTTAATGACAGCCACATTGTTTTCAATTTTAACGATAATCCAACACACCTGGCACTCCATGAAGACGTAAACAACTCATATATATTTTTTCTTTCTTTATTTACAATTATTTAAATTATTTCAATTAAAATCCTTATTTAAAACCATTGTTTCATACCTCTCCTTTATTTAATTTAATACCTCCTTTGTTACGTAAAATCACTTTGTTATGCAAAACCGCCCATAACGCGGTATATTACTACTTCGCTCATATTCAAATTTAAAGAGCAACAATCTATATACGCTAGACGGATTTAAATTACATTTTGATATACGTATTTAATTAATTTTTGCTGGTCGTCACATATCATTTATTTGCAAAAATAATAGAAGCTACTTAAGGATTGCCTAATTAAAGAATGCTTGCCATCGAGGGGCTCCCTCGGTCTATCGGCGAGGATTAAAGAAGAACTGCTTAAAAATAGTAAATTATTACAGTATTATTTTATACAATAATATGAAATTGGATATAAGTGAAATCATAAAAAAAAAATCTATAAATAGTTTCATGAAATTCGACTGCTAAAAAGATTAAATGAAATTAAACTATACAGGAGGCCGCTAAATGTATTATACAATATCAAAGAGTATAAATACTATTTATACTCTTTGACAATATTATCAAAGACACAGAATGCGCATCGCGTATGACATAAAATGGCTTCTAAATTCTCAAAGACATTCCGCTCCTTGGTTTACGAAAGTCACGTGGTACACACCGTCCATTTTGTTTCATAATCTTCCTGATGAACACATGCAAAGTATATGTGTTACGTACATTGCATATTAATTTCACACACTTAATTGGGTCTACAATTATATTTTATAATTAATATCACTTAGTATGGACAGTGTATTAGAATTCATATATAATCGAATATTTGCGCGCATGCGTGCTCGCGTAAATTCCATGCTCGCGTAAATTATTGGAATGAATTAGTATTTTTTTTCAATTATCGTTAATTCGTCACATTTTTAATCAACGAAGACTGAAGACCGGGCGTATTTTAATTAATGGTAATCTTTTCTTTTGTTTTAATTATTTTTAAT